CTACTTTCTTCTCGCGAGTGAGACCCTCTTCACGGATCCGGAGACGAACAAGCAACTGTTCTAAAGTCATTTCTTTCCGTTTGAGCTTGAGATAGCTTCGGAACTCATCCCAAGCTGGCGGGAGCACATGAATAATCGCCGCCACTTGGAATGCCTCACTGACTCCCATTCCCTCGTCAGTGCACTCATTAAAAATGAGAATCAATTCTTCAGCTTGACTGACCACGGGTTTGGAATCCACCATCTTAAAATCCAAGACCTTACCGACAACGAATTTCTTCGCACCGACGTCTTCGGCCTGGTATTTGTTGGACAGTGTAATCCACAACTCCTTTGCGGATGCAGCCCTGCTATAAACAGCATATAAGGCATCGCTCAAGCAATTCAGGATAAGGTTAAGGCACGTATAGTTATTCGCTATCCATGCCTCTTTAGCCTGAACTGTTGGCTCATCCGCGTTCTCCCCCACAACATGGGGATCCTCCCTTAAGTACCTCGCAAGGTTGAGGGTGGTCAGCCAAAACAACATCCTTTGCTGCCATATTTTAAACCAACACCTGTGAACTTTGCCGGTTCTTTAACAGAGTTCGCAGGCAGCATGACAGTAGCATGTCCGACCGGTGCGGATGTGAAGACACCCGTGTTCGGTCCAAGTGAGGGAATGACCGGTATGGCCGAAGCCATATTCGGTCCGAATGGGGTGACCATTGTGGCCGTAGCCGCGGTTGGTCCAATAACCGAGGTGACCGGAGCTGACCCCATAGTCGCGCTCGATTCAACGAATGTGGTGATCGGAGTGGACCCCACGGCCGCACTCGATCCGAAAGGAAAGTTGATCGGAGTGGTCTGCCCTACAGAGCCACCCAATCCATCCGAAACGTTCACAACCGGAGTCTCGGAACTACTCCCGTTTCCGGTGTGAGCGTCATAACCGAATCCGTCCATACCCCCCATTGCGCACGGATATGACTACTACCTTAAGATTGTTACAATTTTTTGTACGGATTACAACGGACGGGGAAGATGAACGGCCCCGGTAATAAAAATAAATAAAATTCTGAATTTATAATTTATTCAGAATATTACAAAATAAACAAAGTTGAGAAACATTTCTATATCTTCAAACGGTCTTGTTGTACGAGGACATTAAGGACTGGACTGTGAGGACATTAAGCACTGGACAGCGAGGTCTTTAAGCACTGGGCAGCGAGGTATTTAAGCACTGGACAGCAAGCAAAGGACGTTATGCACAGGGCTGCGAGGACATTATGCACTGGGCTGCGAGGACATTATGCACTAGGACAGAATGCAGCGAGGTCTTTATGAACTGAACCTGCAAAAACACAACACCGTGGAAGGACAGCGGAGTCGCCGGAGCTGTCCTTAAGGTAGTAGTGCCCGCCTACCGTACCGGAAAACGTGGGCACTCTCCTCCCAGGATAAAACCGCTATCGTGTGTGGAGATTGTACGGACCAACCACACACCAACGAACAAGAACAACGTAGGAATGTTGGCGACAAAAACCTTTAAAGGGGATGGCCGGAAAAATTGGCCGGAAAATCAAGAGCTCTCCCTAAAAGAAAATAATAAAGTGTTTTCTCTTTTCTTTCTCTCTTCCTCACGCAAGGCACACAAAAAAATGGAGAGGAGCCCTTTGATTTTATAACTAAGGTGTTTAAAATGTGTAACTCCTACACCATTAAACCCTTAAAATTAATCATGGCATTTGTGGTGTGTTAATGGTGATTAATTAGCCATTAACACGTCCGTTACGTTACACTCCGTTTAAAATTTGTCCCGTATAATTGGAGATTAATGGCCAGTTAACTCCGTAAAAATGGACTAATTTTAAACAAAACGTAAAATTAATAAAAGAAGATTGGTTCAGTAAAATTGCAAAAATTGCAATCCTCACCATATTCTTTTATCAACGGGTTAACTCTGAAAATCAATTTCTCATTCACTCTCTACCATTTTTGGCGTATAAATTGTCAAAACATTTATCTCATTTAAGAGAACACACGTCCATTAATTAACGGTTAAAACCGTTAGTGGACCTATTGACAAATATACCCAAATTGGTCCATTTAATGCCAATTAAAAATGCCAAAAATTCCAACACAAGCGTGTCCTAAAATTGTGTAACTTTAATGATATTTTCTAATTTTGTCTTTATAGTAGGGTAAGATATGATGAATATGATAGACGAATTATATTTTGAAAAAAACATCAAATTATACATTTTTAAACGGGGAATTTACTATACCTATATTGTACTAAACCATAGTGACTTTCTCAATGTAGTACCGTATGTTTTTATTTTCTAATGTAATACTTAGTACTGCAATTCATAGTCAACTAGTTATCATTCAAGTAAATGTCTAGCGCCACTGGACATTGTTCAAACTAAATGTCTACCATCACTGAATATTGTTACCGTCACTAGACATTATTCAAGTACTAATTAAAAGTTTCAGCACTATATTGCGAAAAAATATATGTTTTAGTAGTATTTGGTGCAAATTTCACTTCCAAAACACACCTTTTATCAAACAACAAATTTTTTTTGGGACGCAATATGTATTTTTTAGTACTCCGTATTTCATATGGGCTTTTAAAAATCTTGGACGCTGCCCCCGAACCCCCGTTGTGTGCCCTCCCACCCTTGTCTACAAACCTGTTAGATTATATATATGGGGCTAGCTAGGCCTAGCTGGACTAAGAGCATGCTCTCTTCGTCTTATACGGTTTTGTTAAGATTTGATATAACGTGATCTGGTCTGATTATAATAAAAGTAAGTAATACGTAACAAGATAAGTTGAATAAAGCATGCTCTAGGTATTCTTTGTGATCGAGCCAGACTTAGTTTAAGTATATACATGTGAAAACATGCTGATACGCTACAAAAAAAATTGACTTTTCGTAACACTGTATTTGTGGCTTATTCAATTCTAGAATTTGCCACAAGTACCCTGTTACAAAAAGTATTTATGGAAAAATTTGATCTCGCAAAAGTATTTGTGGCAAAATTTGATGTTACAAAAAGTTAATTTTTTTGTAGTGAATATAGATCTCCTTCCATCCTATTAAAATATTCTACGACGTTTTAATAGGTATGAAGATTAAGAAAATAAAATTGTATAGTTAAATTTAATACAGAGGAAAGATTAAAAAAAATTATTCACAAGAAATTTTTTAAAAATAGAAAGTAAAAGTTTATGTTAAGACGAATTGAATGAGGTATATTCTGAGAGTCTCTGAATCAGAGGCGGATCCAGGAATCGGGAGACATGGGGTCCCGTTTCTTAAATTGTGAATATATATTTATACTACGTAACTATTCTCATGCTATAAAAATTCTACTATTTAAATGAACATTCAAAATATGATTCTTAAATGGAATTTTTAAAATCATAACTTTTACATCTGACAATTTTCTAAATATAAAACTTAGTAATTAGATATAATGATTTTTTTTGTCAAAAGCCTCGAATTAGAACGAAAAATTTAGATATATCCAATAATTCTTTAGTATCACACTTTAAAAATGGAAGTAAATTGTAAAAAGAATACAAATAAAACAAAAAAAATTGTTTAGGTATTTTTAGGGAAAAGTACTTGTAAAAAGGCAATAAAAATTGTAAACTCTTTGCATGCATCAATATATTCTAAATCCACAGTATTGTAAATAACCGCAAAGAGTGCAAGTTTGAAGTTTTAATGTTTTATATTCAAAATAAATTAATACAATGAGGTATATTTTTTAGGTTTTCTTATAACAATTGGGAATGAGATCAACATTGTATTGCTTGTTTATTACTAACATATGAGGATCGAGGTGATTTTAATAGATTGGAGGTTCGCATTTTGTTTTTGATTTCCACTAAATTTTGAATGCACTCATATAAGAATTAAACTAAACAAATTTAAATAGCACATGAATTTAGATAGTTTGATTGTCAAATTGGAAAAACTTTAATAATTATTTAATACCCCGAGTACCCATTTAAATGGAAATTCTAATGTAGTAATAGATATTAATACAAAAAATACTACCTCAAGAAATATAATAAAATATATAATAATAAAAATGTTTTTGTAAAGTACTTGAAGATAAAGTTGAGCCCAATAAAAAGAACAAAAATAAAGGGGAGATGGGAATCGAACTCCAGCTCGCAAAAAACAAATCCTAGATGCGCCTCCACTGCACTACTTCAACATTCAATTTCATATGGGTTTAGAGAATTTATATACTCTCTCCATTGCGCATCACAAAAAGCAATACTACTCACATCTAAAATTTCTAAAATTTACCATATTTACTCTTTATTATAAGATGAAATTGTTTTGAAAGTTTTTTTGGCATTTTAGACTATATAAAAATATTTTAAGGGATGCGCAAAGAAATGAAACGTAACGATCTTTTTGGGACGGAGGGAGAACTAATTATACCAGAGCACCTAACTATATAAGGACCCTACGTGGAGGTCCGTGGGGTCCCGGGACCCGTGGGACTCAACGTGGGTCCGCCTTTGCTCTGAATGACTTACACGGCATATAATAATGATGACACATGGGAAAAAAAGTAGGAGTAAAAATTAAAAATATATCAAAATAGGATTTCCTTGTTTTTATTTCCGAAATAGGAGTTAAAATGCATTTACATTACGAAACATGGTCGTGTACATTACCAAAAAGTATAGAAATGTGTACATGATTAGTGCCGCATTACCACCACAATACCACAGTGCAAACTCTTATTTCAGGAATAAAAATATGAAACTCCTATTTTGATACTTTTATTATCTAGGGTAATTTCTCTTGAAACATCTATAGAGTGTGGAGTGTCGGTGTACCTTAGATTAACAAAAAATTGTGGGGGAAGATGATTGTCTTTCATGTCCAAGGTCAATCCTTACATAAAAAAATAGAATTGCAAGATTCAAAAATTAAATGATAACAAAATTAAAAACTTATGATTTAGGCGTCGCATGAAATCTTAAAATTTCTTTTTCTTTAATATTTGTATTAAAATCTCAACTAAAAGCTCAAGCTTGAATATGTGGCACAGAAAATTTTTTATGTTCTACGGAGTAACATTTCTCTTTAAAATTAAAGTACAAGTTTTTATTATATAGTATTTCTTTTTTCTCTAGAATAAATAACAATGACACAATTTAATTTTTAGACCATATACAAATAAAAACGTTTTAATTTTGGTATAAAGAATTAACGTACTAAAAAACTTATTGTGATGTTTAAAAATCAAGTAAGAGCACTGAAAATACATTTGACGCCCCGAGACTTCAAACTTTCTCTCTCTGCCACGTCAGCTTTAACTTACACCCAAAATTAACTGGAAATAGATTTGAAGCCCCGAGGCTTCAAACCTTTATTTTTTACATTTTTAAATATACATCTTCTAAAATTAAATTAATAAAATGTAATTAATTTATTATTTGAATTAATTGCAATGAGACTAGTGCATTAAAAAAATTACATTCATTAAAAAATATTAAATTCATATAAAATACATCCATAAAAAAATTACATTCATTAAAAAAAATTACATTCATAAAAAATAAATTCATTAAAAAAATATTACATAAAAAAACAACACTACAAAGAAATCACTAACTGTTCGAGCGACTAAAGATATGTTCAATTTTGGTTTAAACGTTGTCGTCGGGTCCGTCGATGGGAGGATTCAGCTTCTTCTTCTTGGCCTTCTTCCCACCATTGAATACAACTCGTGGCGAAACAACGAAAAAAGAGAGCCCTTTTTTCATCGTCGGATGAAGATGGTCCCATTTTTAAAATATATTTTATACATATTTATAATAAATAATAAGTATTTTAGAGAGAAGATAGAGAGAGATATGTGAGAGAATGATTTTTTAAGGGAATTTATAGGTTTTTTTTAAAATTTTGATTTTTTTTTTAATTTGGGAGGGGGGTAACGGCTAAATAGGGGATTGCTGCGCGTCAAACGAATGACGGAGTGGGAACGACGCCCGGGTAACGCCGCAGGGGGGCGGTGTTTAACGCATCCTGGGCGTTTCACAC